TCAGGAAGGCCAACCGCATCTTGTCATGTATCCACAGGTGCAACTTGAGCAGGTTCAAGGAGATGATCTTCCCCCTAGGGACCAGCAGGCATTGGGGGAGTCCCTGTTCCCCCGAGCCAGGAGTAACAAGAAATAACAGTCACAACCAGGCAGAGGGTAGATTCAGACTAGACATCAGGAGGCGCGACTTCACTGTCAAGGCGGCTAGGATCTGGAACCAACTTCCAAGCAAAGTGGTGCTGGCTCCTACCCTGGGGGTCTTTAAGAGGAAGCTAGACAAACACCTTGCCAGGGTCATTTGACCCCAGTACCTTTTCCTGCCAAGGCAGGGGGTTGGACTTGATGATCTGCTCAGGTCCCTTCCAACCCTAGAAACTATGAACTATTAAACCCTGACCATGGTCCTGCCCAGCCCAAAGCACACTCTGGCTGTGCCAGGCTGCCACCTGACAGTTCCCATGCCCACTGTACTAAGTATAATGGTGTGAATAAGGAACTGGCTTTTGGGCTGGGGTTAGGGCTAGAAGTCCTGTTTGGGCAACCCTACAGCATACCTCCATGGTGCCGGGGGACTCTCCCAGATGCATCTGACCAGAGTCTTGCCCTGCTCAGAGTGCAGTTTGTTTGTGCCAGGCTGCTAACTGGCAGCCCCCCATGCCTACCGTACTAGTATAATGCTTTGAATAAGGAACTGGCTTTTGGGCTGAGATTATGATTGGAAATCTTTTTTGGGCCATCCTACACCATGTTTCTTTCCCACCAGGGGACCCTCCTGGACACGTCTGGCCAGGGTCTTGCCTGGCCCAAAGTGTAGTTTGGCTGTGCCAGGTTGCCAGTTGGCAGCACCTTAGCCACTGTGCTAAGTATAACGGCTGGGATTATGTCTGGAAATCCTTTTGGGGCTACCCCATGGCATACCTCTGTGGCACTGGGGGACTCTCCTGGACACCTTGTAATAAACTTGCTTTAAGTTAACATTTGCCAGTGAGTGACCCAGTTTTAAGTTACTTTACCAAGTTTCTGGGTGGTGGCTGGAGGTAAACATTAAAAGCTGTTGAAAAATCCCTGTAAACATGCTTCAGGGTGGAGGGGGTGCTTTAATTAGAACGGCTCTGAAGGCCACTATAATTAAAGTGCCTGCAGTGTTGCATGTATTCAGCATCCCATGCTTCAAAATGGTGGTGGGGTACTTTAACAAAACTTTGGTGCTTGGCATGGCCAAAGCACTCTTTGGACCAGGCAAGACCCCTGGTCCGGGGTGTCCAGATGTGTTCCCCAGTGCCATAGAGGCATAGCGTGGGGTGGCCCAAGAAGGATTTCCATCTCTAATCTCAGCCCAAAATAAATTATTTATTTGAGCCCATATACTTAGTGCAGCAGGCATGGGGGTCTACCAGTTAGTAGCCTGGCCTCAAGAAACCACGCTTTAGGCGGGGCAAGACTCTGGTTTCGGGAGTCTGGGAGAGTCCACCGGTGCTACAGAGGCATGGTGTCAGGTGAGAGAGAGAGGATTTCCATCCATAATGTCAGTTAAAAAAAATTACATGGGCAGTCCTCAGATTTACAACACAATTGGTTCCTGAAAACCTTGTTTTAAGTCGAAACATTGTAACTGGGAACCAATTTTCTCATAGGGAACAATGTTATCAATGGGGCATTGGTTCCTGAACCAAGGCCCGATACCCTGTTTTCACCAAAAATACCGCAGAACTTTGTACTCAATCAATTATGGATGAATAATATAGCTACATTAATGTATTTATACTGTAAAGAGCAATCATATTGATTTAGAAGGACTTCTCTGAGGTGACTTTGCTGGACTTTTTGAAGGGTTCTTGGCTGGAGTCTTCTCCGGAGTTCTGGCTGCAGGATTTTCTGGAGTCTCGTCTGCTTTCTTAAAGAAAGTGTCCAAGGGAGTTTGGACAGGTGTTCTCCAGGGAGATGAGCAACGCAGCAAACTTGTTTGCTGGCCTAGCGTTGAATTGGATCAAGCATTGTAAAGTTGAAACTGACTTCATAAGTTGAAACAGGGTGTCAATTTACAATTGCAATTGTAAGTGCAAAATGAAACACTGTAAGTTTGAGGACTGCCTGTATTCAAGCTGGTATACTTACTACAGTGGGCAGGGGGAGACTGCTAGTTGGCAGCCTGGCATGCACAAACTGTGCTTTGGATTGGGCAAGACTCTGCTCAGAGGTGACCAGGAGAGTCCCCCACTGCCACAGAGGTATGCTGTGGGGTGGCCCAAAAAGGATTTCCAGCCATAATCCCAGCCCAAAACCAGTTCCTTATTTGAGCCATTACACTTAACACAGTGGCTGGGGTGCTGTCATTTGGTACCTTGGCACAGCCATACTGCACTTTGGGCTGGGCAAGTCCCTGGCCAGAGTCCCCTGGTGCCATAGAGACATGGTGTGGGGTGGCCCAAACAGGACTTCCAATCATAATCTCAGCCCAAAAGCCAGTTCTTTATTCAAACAATTATACTTAGTACAGTGGTTACAGAGAGCTGCCAGTTAGCAGCCTAGCACGAACAAACTGCGCTCTGGCAGACCCCATAGCCACGGGTGCAGACCACGGGTTGAGACGCCCTGCATTAGACGCCCAGGACGAAGGCGGGATTTCAGCTGATGAATCCCGTCGGCAGCTGCGCCCCGGCTGAATCCGTCCCCACCCCTGCAAGGGAGGGGCGGGGCCGGGGCCGTGCCGGGGTGCGTGCGGACTGCCTCCCGCCGGGGACATCCCCTGGGCGACTGGCACGTGACTACCGCAGCGAGCCCACGGCAGCTCCGCCCCTACGTCACTGCGGCCGTGGCCTGGGGGCGGGGCTCGAGGGCCACTGATGTCTCCGCGCGCAGAATCCTGGCCAGTGTGCGGGTTGGCTCTGACGCTTCCCCTCCCGCTCGGGGCTGAGCGCCGAGTCGTGGATCGGAGCCGCCCGGGTAGAAGCAGTCGCGGGCCGCGCTCGTCGCTCGGCGCGGGCGGTTTGAAGACGCCGGGATGGCGGCGCCGAGGCGCGCGACCCAGCGGGCGGCCCCCAGCACCGCGCCTGCCGCTGCTGGCCCGGGGGCGGCGAAGGCCTCCGTGGCCGGCGTGGAGCAGAAGCTGGACGTGCTGACGCTGGTCCGGTGAGTGCCCGCGGCGCGGGGGGCCCCGCACGAGCTCGCCCCAGCCCTGCGCGGGCTTCTCGCTCCCGGGTGCTGATGAAGCCTGTGAGCCAGCGCTGCCGGGTCTTAAGTATGCAATTATGGTATTGGAAGCTCAAAAGAGTATCGTATTTGTTGAAAAACGATCGTACACGGAAAATATATGCAAATAAGTCTTCTTTACTTTGCATTGCTCACTGTAGTCGCCAGAGAGCAAGTGACAACGGCTTAGCCAAGTTGAAACGTTTCTCTGAGACAAGTAGTTATAAGAGTGGACATTTTTATACATGCAAGTGCCCAGTACTGCAGCACTTGCGGTTGTATAAGTGGCATCAGTGCTGAGGAAACGGCAGTGGCGCACTGTTGAACTAAAACACATCAGAGGTGCTTTAGTTCAAAGGTACGCCGCCACTTTCTGCGCGCTGACGCATGTTTCACCACTTACACAACCACACGCACGTGGCGCAGCACAGTCCGCATCAGCTCGTGTGCGGAGCAGACTCAATTAATAGTCTGCTCTGAAGCAGCGCATCTCCTGTGTGTTGCAGGACAAAAAAGTTTATGTATAGATACGGAAAGTGCTGAAGCAAACCCAAAAGTCAAGACTACCCAAGAGTGACTTGGGTTTCGCATATGGTGCATCAATCAGCTGCACCCATGGGGAGATGCTGCTGCAATGCGTAGGAGCTCAGAAGGGCTCATGTTGTTCGTGTCTCTCCTTGCAGGCTGCGGGAGCAGTTAAAGCAGCAGTTCATGGAGTGCAGCACTGTCGTTGACGCAGGTGGGGTGTTGTATTGGGCTCAGCCTCCCCTTGTCCCCCCAGCTTACAGCCTTAGGGTGCTTCAGGATCCCTTACTGCACCTGGATTTTCAGGTTACAGCTATGGCTAGGAGTGGGTTTCACCAACCTCATCTGGGGAGAAACTTGCAGCCCTTTGTTTCTGATTCATATCTGGCCACCATAATCGTTCATGCTTTTGTGATTTTTGAGGCTAAATTACTGCAGTGTAGTCCATATTTGGCTGCTCTTGAAAGCTGGAAGCTGCAGCTGGTGCAGAACACACCAGCCCTTCTAACAGTGATGGGTCACCAGGAGCATGTCATCCCAGTGCTCCAGAGCCTCTGTATTGTCTTCTCAAAAAGCTACTGAAAGCAATTAAAGTGCTGTTTTTTACTTTGAAACCCTGAACCCTAAGTTCTGCAAAAAAAAGACTGCAGCCCCCTTTACTTTGCCTCAATTGCTAAAATCAGGTGAGAGCGACCTCCTGTGAATACCAAATGTGTGTCAAGTTAGCTTGGCAAAAGCACATTAGAAGTCATTCTTGGTAGTTGCTTCTCTGCTTTGGAACTCTCTTTCCCTTGTGGCCCACCAGAGCCTGAGGCTGGTCATCTTTCAGAAGCAGTATAAGACCTTATTTGGGGAGGTTTTTAGTAAGCAGAGTTAAATTTTGGGGCATTATCTGGAGAATTAGTGTAATTATTTATTTTATCTGTTGTTTTGGCTTTTTTTTAATTGTAAGTCACTTTTGAGGGAAGGTAGCATAGAAATTAAGTAAATTTCACTTGTTCTATATAAATAGGTTGATGGGGTTTATTTGTTTGTTTGATCTGCCACTTTAACACTGAATTCTTCCTTTGCAGGTGAGGAAAGCATTCCTGACCAAGTCATGGAAGAAGGATTAATTGAGGCGTATGTCTTCTGATAACTTTGTTTCTAAAACTTGTCAAATAGAGTGAGGAAAGGGGTGAAAACTCATGGGTTCTGTTCCTTTTCCTGTGCTCTTTAATGCGATCTGTAGACTGATGTTAGAGCTTTAATTTTATTGGACTCTCATGGAGAAAGCATTGAGGAAAGGTAGAAACTTTGTTCCATGCCACAAATAGTTTTATCCAATGTTGCTTCTATTCCTTAAATCCTTAGAATGTGTCTTGGAATTTAGCCATGTAACTTAAAGTACTAAACTGTTATTTGCAAACTATGACATTGTTTTGTCATTTGATAGGTAGCTTGATCCAAACATAAAACTGCATTTGGTTTCCAAGGCTGCATCCAGCCAAGCACAAATGTTTGGTTCCCCAGAGACAACTAGCAGTGGAATACCTTGTGCCACTTTTAGCTGTCCCTGGGAAATGCCACGCCACACCCCCTCTACAGCACGCCAGGTTACCTCAGATGGGGTAGAGGAGGCTGGGGCCAGCACAGTTGCTGGCTCCAGCAGCCTGTCTTGGGGGGCTGGGGAAGCTGCAGCTGTATTACACCAGCAGCTCAGAGCCTGGCTGGCAGGTGGAGGGTGGTTCCAGCTGGCCACATTCCAGTTTGGGGCAGTGTGTGCTGTCCACATGCTCTGCCCTGTGTTTCTTCTTTGCAGGTTTTTTTGATCTCTAGAGGTAAAAAAAAAAAAAAAAAAAAAAAAAAAAAATCCTGGATCTCTAGAGGTCAAAAATCCCCACGCTGCAAAGTGGTAGTGCAGGAAATGCCTGTGTGTAGTGTGTGGCATTGTAGATGAGTTTGCAATGCCATACCACATGGACACGCTCGTCTGGATGCAGCCCAAATGCGCATTGGAATTTCAAGTTGCTCATCCCTTGTTTATTAATGTTTTTAAAAAGGAATGCACTCTTGCAATTTGATGCGATGATCAGAACTTCTTTTAATATCACATTTCTCATTACAAATTCAGATCAATAAATATCAGGAAGAGAAATTCAAATACAGATTAAGTTTCAAGCAAAGCATTGGCAACAGTAAATATACCCCTTTCTAACTGAGTGTTGGGGTTTTTTTTATACAAGCTAATAAATAATGTAGCAGAGCTTGAGTATTTTTGTTTTAATAGCTTGAATATGCAACTTCCTATGTCCTAGTTTTAACCTTTGCTATTTAAAAAGCATTAGATATACCTGTATCAGACCTACTTATCATCATTGGAAGGTTTCAGCCTTGCCTTCAGCACTACAGGGCACCTTTTGAGCTAGAGGGCTAAGAAAACTGACAGCAGGAGAAAGTTGTTATATAAGAAGATTGGGGTTATGGGCTGTTTGCACCATGTTATACATTCAGAGGGTAGCTGAAGGAAGTGACCTGGCTTGCATTTTTTATAACCCTAGAGGTTGAGGGTTGTTTCTTACTGGCATGGTATACCCACAGCAGGCCAGAAGAGTTGTAGGGAGAGGGATGGTTGAGCATTTGAATCTTCCCTGTTCTTGCTAAGCTTGAAGCTGCTTAAGAGGACTGTGGCTGTTGTTGCTTCTTTGGTAGCAACAGGATTGGAATCCTGAGGATACTGAGTTTGGTAGGTAATTTTAACAACATAACTTGCTAGGGGAGCAGGGAGAGGGGGTTATAGAGGAGTTTTTGTTAGATTATGAAACTCTTATTTATCATGCTGCTGCTTTTGTTTTAGTACTGTGGAAGAACTGGAAAGAGAAATGGAACAAGCAAAGATTTCTTTCCAAAACAAGACATTGGCATTGCATAGGTAAAATGCTCTTAAATTGTATTTTGAAATTCTGTTTAAATAAGAACAAACCTACATAAAATGTAAACTACCTAGTTTAATGACTAGCTGTTCCAAGCTTGTAGTTCTTCTGCATTGTTTGACTGGCTATTCAGATAACCCACTGTCGCAGAGCACTTAGGTGCCCTGCGCCTGAGAGCAGGGGCAGCCCAAGAGAAGCCCCTAGCAGTGAGAAGGGGGAGGCGCAGCTGCCAGTCACCTGGGCAGCACAGGTGCCGGTTGCTGGGGCAACCGGCGAAACCACTGACAGGAAGGGGCAGGGCTTAGCCCTTCTTAAAACCCAGGCAGGAGGCCAGGGTGGCAGTGCCTCCTCTGACAGCCAAGGAGTGAGGAGCTCAGCCAGGGCAGGAAGAAGGCCAAGGTTTGGCTGCACGAGTATCTGCAGGTTGCTGCTGGAGTATTTGCCCGGTAGGGATTAACTGTTATACCGGATGGTTTAGTTTTATGTTATAGCCCGGGGGCGGGGCTTTGTGTTTTGTGTTCACTGTTTCACTGGAGGACCGGGTGAGGCTATAAGGGGTGGAGGAGGCCTCATAGGGACTCCCCAGTAATGGGGGGTGGTCTCTGGTGAGGACAAAGGCGCAGTATGTTGCAGGGTGCATTGGCCTAGCCCCGAGAGTGGCAGCGAGGAGCCCCGAGAGTGGCAGCGGGGCGGCAAGGAGCCCTGAGGGCGAAAAGAGGCCGGGACATAACAGGACTAGTCGGATCACACCAGCACCATCTGCGAGGCTTGGGCTGCGGTGTAGGGGAGGAAAAGGAGCCGCAGATATATGCACCCCGATGACAGGGGGCACTAAATGGGCAGCCTCCTGCTAATTACAGTAATCTATTAATTACATAAGATCAAGGCATGGCAGGTGAGTTAGAGGGCGGTTGGCCCATTACAGGAGGGTGGAGCCATATCGGGAGAGGCTCCGATAGTGGCACTCCTGTCACACCCACCTTCAAGCTTTGGAGTAAGGATTCAGTGGTTGAAAGAGCTTGGGACTGTTGGAGCCAGTGTTTATCCTGATACTCTCAGAGAAACACGTTGTTTATCATTAAACTCATAATATGTTCTGGGTCTCTGATATCCTACGTATGTACCAAGTATCAGGAGAAAGAGGTGACCAGAACTTGGTTTTTCTTTTAGTTTGTTTTCAAGGTTTGGGGGTGGCATTGCTTTGTATTAGTTTTCTCACTAATGAGGTGGGTTCTTTTTTTTTTAATTTCTCCTTACCTGATATAGGGTCCAGATTATGGATGCCCTCCGAACCAAACTGAGACAAAATGATGATGACTCAAAGTAAGACTTTTTTAAACAGGGAATGCGTGGTAAGGGATAAGACACAAAGATCCAGAATAGAGTATTACAAAAAACCTAACATGGTCATTTTATTTAATTAAACTCTGCTGTCCTGTTATAGCTGTATTATTGCATGATTTTCAGCTAGAAAAGAGTAAGGGCACAGTGAATGGTAGGTGTGGGCTTCCATTCTTCCTACTTCGGAAATAAAAGCACACCACAATGCTATCATCACTAGCCAAAGGGCAAGAATCCTAGGTAACTTCTTAAACTAGACTTTTTTCCCATAGCGTTGCAACCTCATAGCCTGCCAAGTTCTGCACATTCTTTGCTCAATAATGCACTGTTGAGCATAAGTAAATGATTTGAAGTAAGGCACAAAGAGAATATTGACTTCTAAAACTTTTATTCAGCATAATAAACCTTAGAAATAAGTGTTTAGTTTTCCAAATGTTAAGGTAAAGCATGGTGTGGTTTTATTGTTTTTGGGTTTTTTTTAAGTTGAATGGTCTTTGCAGTATCCAAATCGTTATGTTAAAATAAATACTATGTTGATTGAAAGTAAATCATTGAAGGGCTGGGAATTAATTTGTTTATTCCCTCATTAGGTTAATCTTGGAGACTATAAAACGCATACTAATGCTTAGTACTGCAGCAATTGAATTTCAAAAGGCAAGTATTTTTGGTGTTACTAATTTTTTTAAGTAGTATGAAGAGTGGTGTTGTAGCCATGATGGTCCAGAAATTATGTGAGATACAAGAAAGAATGTCTTGCATTTGAAAGCTTATCTAACTTTATTCCAACTACATAGTTGTTCTAATAAAATATATCAGTCTAAGAAGTGCTTGCCTCTTGGATAATTATTTAAATGATGTTAAGATTTCAATGGGTTGCCAAAATGATGACTTTTTTTTTTTGAACATGGTTATACAAGACAATCTAGGCTTGTCTACATGAGAGATTTAATGCCCATTGGACTAATTCTATTGCACACTAGTGTGGCTGGCAAAAATTGTGCTAATGTGCAGTAGGTTAGTCCAGTGGGCATTAAGCATCACACAGTGTTCATTTGCGCTAATGCTCAGTAGCACCAATTATGGCACATTAAGTTACTACCTATTACAGGTATTAAACTTAATTACAGCGCATTTAATGAATGTGTAGATGCACCCTCTGATCCTTCTAGGGAAGGAAAACCCTGATCACTTGAGAGAGCTGAGACCTGCTCAGACTTTCAGTTTGAGATCAAAGCTGTTATAATGGAGGTAACTGTTGTATGTTTGTGGTTGGGAATTATTGCCCTGGGGTGTCTATTCTCTCTCTGGACATGCCACATATTGATTTGAGTTATGGTCCCTCCACCTTAAAGAAGATATAGAAGAACCAGAAAAAGTATACAAAAAGGCACCAAGGATGATCAGGGAAATGGAAGCTATGTGAGGAGAGACTAAATAGGCTAGGCTAATAAATGGTGTAAAGAAAGTAAATAGGGATTTATTATTTATCTTCTCCCATAATATCAGAAATAGGGGACATAAAATGAAATTAGAGGTGCACTGATGTATCAGTGCCAATATGATATGGACTGATGTAAGGAAAATTGACATTATCGGCAATAGGCTTTTATTGCCTGATGTAGCCAATAACATTGCTGATAAGTGTTGCATGCAAGCGTGCAGCTGCAGCATGTACATGGCCAGGAGTGCAGCCTAGCATCTTGGAGAGCAGCATCAGGCTGGTCAGTCTGTGTGGCGGAAAAGGCATAGGGGAGGGAAGGGGAGGGGCAGATTGAGGCCCTGTGGTGAGGGAGGGAATGGGACAGGCGCTGCACAGCTGGGGCAGGGTGGGTTGCAAGACAAAGTCTGTGGTTTATTCAGAGAGGGTGCAGGCAGTGTGGCTTCCACCACTGTGAACCCTGGAGGAGGCATGGGGGGCATGTGCCCCACCCTCCAATCTGTGTGTGGAGCAAGGGCAGACTGCCACTGCGTGCTTGGGGCTGGAGGCTGTGGCGGGCTGTTTCTGGCAGTTGCGCTCAGGAGGGGTGGGTGGTGGCATGCTGCGGGGGGGTGGGGTTTGGTAAATTTTGGGGTGGCTCTAGTCCTCCCTTCCAGCACCACCGCCACCCTCCCTGAGCTCAGCTGCCAGGAAGAGCCCGGTGCAGCCTTCAGCCCCAAGCGTGCAGATCTGGGAGGCACGTTTCGCACAGCAGCAGAAGTCACACTGCCACCCACACCCTCAAGGCAAGCCGCTGACTCTGTCCTGCACCCTGTCCCGCCCTGCCCCAGCTGTGCAGCTCCTGCCTCTGCCCCAGCCCCACTCCTCCAGGGTACACACAGGTGTGGGAGCTGCAGCCCTGTCCCCAGCACTGCCCAGACGAGCCACCAGCTCCATTCTGTGCCCCAGCCCCACTCTCTCCCTTACTGTGGGAGCCTCAGTCTCCACCCCACTCCTTGCCTCCAACAGACCTACCAGCCAGATGCTGGACTCTAAGCTGCTGGGCTGCATATCAGCAATTGGACTGGTATCGGCCAATATGTCTGGTTAGTAATCAACCATCATGTTGGCCCAAAAAATCTTTATCGATGCACCCCTAAATGAAATTTTTAGGTAGCAGATCTGAAATTAAAAAAGAGGGTTCTTTTACACAGCGTATAATTAACTTGTGGAAGTCATTGCTAGAAGGTGTTGTGGAGGCTGATAGTTTTAACTCAGTTCAAAATGAGGATTGGACAGATTCATGAAGAAAAGCTTTGTTTTTAAAGGACTGGTGTAGTCTGTATAAAATTACAATCAATTTCCTTTGCTCTCCCCTTTCTTCCTCCCTCTCACTTGAAAAATGCTATAAAGCCATAGTTTGTTTTTTAATTTTTGTTTTATTTTATTTATTGGATGTATGCTGCCCTTCCCAAAAAAGGCTCAGTGCAGCATACAATAAAAAATAAATTAACTTATAAAAACAGAATAAAATATTAAAATAAGATGGTATACTAAGACTCTCTTCTCTCACCAAAATTATAGAGGAAACCCACCTCGCCTTCTGCTGGCTTTGATTTTTCAGGAAAAGGTGGTCATGTCCCCTTCTCCCTCCCATCGCCCCTCTTCTCCCCACCCCTCACAGCCACCTCTTCTCCAACCTACCTTCACTACCTCTGCAAAAGGAAAACAAATCTCTTTCCATATTCCCTCCCATCCCTACCCACTATCACTTTGTTGCCTCACACCCCAGAACCCTACAATCCATCTAGTCTAAACCATATAACAGATACCATAAAATCTTACCTAGTACATTCTGCATCAATCTCAGTAACTTGTGGCTGAAATAAAGCCTGTTCTTCTGTTAAGACATTTGGTTGTGATTTTTAAGACTTCAAATGTTAGATTCCTCATCACATCTTGCAAGAGATGTTAATGGCTACTTATCTTTTTCTAGTTAAAGAGAAAAAAGAAACTAATTTTTAGTTTGAAATTGTTTAGCTCCATTTCAGCCAGAGGATGTTAGAATAATGTTGTCTAATAGATGAGAGAGAGCCTTTCTCTGTGCAAGAATTAAGATTGTGAACCAGTTGCTGCTCAACTTTTCCTGAATAAAGTCCTTTGTTCTGCTAAAAACATTAACGTTTTTGTTCCTAAATATGTAACTTTGAATTTTTGCTGTGTTAAAATATGTATTTGACTGCTCCCAAATATCAAAATGACCCAGATTGGTGGAGTACTAAACAATAAAAAGGACTCATGAATTATACAGAGCAATCTGTCACTTGCAAATTGCATTAGAAGTGATCTTATTTTCTTTCAGGTAGTAAAATATTGACTGGCATTGGGCCAAGAATCTTGTAGTTTCACTAGAAAACCACTCAGTGGAGAATTATCAATAATTACATTCTAAAATCTATCAGCCTGTCCTCACATAATCTAATATGTGCTTTACTGACTTTATTTTTCTTTTATAGTTAGACTTTAAAATTAAGAGATGATGCAGTAGAAACTTGTAAAGAACTTAAAAACCCAGTTGACTTTTTAGAATAGTTATAATTGCCATAAAGAAGCTTTTGCAAATCATGTTATACCCTTGGTTACAGCTATACAGTTTGATGGCCCTCAAATCAGGTGTACAGGTATAACTAATAGCAGAAATAGCAAGACTACAAGTGATGTGCTACACTTGGAACTCATACAAAGTATGGTCTGTCTTGGCTTTAACAGTAGTAAAAAATAAAATAGGTATATAGGTAAAATGGAGTAGACAGGAAGATCCCTTTTTCTAATATTAATTCTAAGTTTTGAGAAGTAGTTAGCCATGCTAAGTCTGAAGTCAGGCAGAAAGCACAGTGTCTGAGAGAGTAGACTGTAGCCTATGAAAGCTTGTGCTTCTATGAACAAGTTTGTCTGAGATGCCACCCTACCCTGACTCCTTCGTGTTTTTTAATTCATTTTGTGTATTGGATTAGTATCTGTCAGTGCTCTGAACTTCAAATGATTGTCAATGTTAACATTATAAAATACTTTTCTTTCTCATAGCAAGCACGTGAAATGGAAGAAAAGCTGAATGATATTAAAAGGAAACGACTCTGTAAGTGTGTATCTGCTATTCATTATCTTCCAGGTATACAGTTTTGAGTTTTAAAGGGCCTGTCCAGAATTTACTACTTCAAAGCCTTGCACAACTATCAAGCTCTGGATCTATTTGTTAAATGTCTAAAAGCAGAGTAATACACTGTAAAAAGTTAGCTGTTATGCTGAGTGCCTGCATGAAGTAAGATAACTGTTGGAATTTAACCTTGTTGGTAATTTTTGTTGTTTTTGTTTTTAATAATTAAATCCAAAAACTGTTAGACATTTGCAGAGAAGTTAGTTACTTTAAAGGAATGCTGTAAAATAGTATAACAAAGTACTAACTATATATCATATAGTGTTACAATAATTTTTAATGACCACACCCACGCAATTACAGTTGCATGCATTTGATCAGAATACTTAGAGCTGGGTTAGTGAAGATGATTTTAGCTGTCCCATGCTGGCTGTCTCCAGATAAGCGCAGATAGGAAAAAATCCCATTCTTCTTGTCCTGTTTTATCCCTCAAGATTTCTTATTATATCAGATCTAGAAGGAAATTTCCATACGTTCTTATCTTTATTTCCAGTATGCAACACCTTCTACATAATCTGTTTGTTCTTTGTGGGTTTCCTCGTAGCCCGTCTAGTCAACATCTGGCATGCTGTCTCCTTGCTATTGTTTACATGCCTTTTCTTTTATATTAGCATATGTAAGGTTACTTTTGTTGTGGTCTATATATTAGTTTCCTGCAGCAAGCTATGACTGGCAAGATATTAAAGCAGTTTGTTATAGGATAAAAATGGCAGATGCACTGCAAAACTGTCATCCATCCTTCTTTGCAGTTCCATGACAATTTTAATACTTGGCCAGCTATCTACAGTATCCCACAGTCCCCTGCTCTACCTTCCCGCTCCAAGAGGAAGGGAGGGAGAGTGACTGGCTCTTTGATGGTTCACTGCTGTCAGGATGCCCAGCATGCTGCCCCCAATCCAATCCTGTCTATTCATGGGACCATTAAGATTGGCTGTGTCCCAGACCCCAGGGGCTGCCCCCTATCCAGTCCCACCAGTCCAGTCTTGATTCCATTAGAAGTAGATTTGCTGAGATTGTGCAAAACTCTATATACCAGGCTGGCATTATTTGTTTTGCCCGTAATCTTAATGTGCAATTAATTTCATTCTCAGTAAAAGTGTATGCATGTGTGTAGGTGAAAACCAAGTGCTCTCAGGCTTTCTTCAAACAAATGCAAACTGTAATTTATTCAGAGTAGGACTGAAATGTATGACAAAAGGATTTGTTTTTGGTACTCTCTCTTTATTGGACCAACTGTATAATTGGGAGAGCTGTTTTCCAGCATCAAGTGCCTTTTCTTGATGATGCGACAAAATAATCCTTGACTCTTTCATAAAATAGTGAAAAAATATTGAGTAATGTGTCATTTAAGTTTGTTGGGTTTTTTTTCCACCCTCTGAATCAAATAGCATTAAAACAAGCTGGAGAAAAAAAACTATTACAGATTCACACCATGAAGAAAAAACAAAAAGAGGAACTAGAGGGTATTGAAGTGGGAGAAATGCTAAAGAGGATACGCAGAAACTTGCAAAAAGAAACAGAAATGACTACATTAATTCAAAATATATTTCAGGTAACCCATAACTTTGAAACAACATAAATTTCTGTAGTTTGAGCTATTAAGATTTGGTATTTTCTGTCAACTAGGCCTTTTTAATTACTCTGAACTTTAAAATTAACCAAAACAAACAAACAAAAAAACAGCAACTTAGCATCTTCTTAATAAGTTAGAACTAAACTAGCATTTTAATATTCTAGATACCTTTTTAACTAAATTTAATCAGAAAACTAACTAATTATCTATCTTATTGCAGAGTATCATTATTGGAAGCAGAGTTAACTGGGCAGAAGATCCAGCTTTAAAGGCAATTGTTCTACAACTTGAGAAAAATGTGGCTCTTATCTGAAATTTTAAACAATAAACTTTCAGAAATAAACAATTAAGTATAACCCAAATGGACTAATAGAAATACAATCTAAGTGTTGCTTCTCCAACCTAATGATTCGGGCATTATTATGGAGCTCGTCAAAGCAGAATTTAAATCCTTGGTATAAAACAAAATTGCTTAATGGACTAACCAAGGGTAGCAAACATTTGGTCCCGTCAGGCTGGAGCTTGCCACCTAGCTCCCTACTGAGGCTGCAAATATTCCCATCCCTCTCCCCAACTCCTCTTAAGTCAAGCTGCCTGCACTTACCCTAGCTTCAGATACCTTCATTGCAGTGGGGCCAGGTAAGTGCAGATATGAGAGAACAGCAAGAAGGGTTGTATAGAGGTGCTATAGAGAACAGCAGCATGTTGCCCTGGGCTGGGTCAGACCTCCTCATGGGCTGGTTTCACCCATGGGCTAGAGCAGGAGTACTTAACTTCCAGCCAGCAAGCCAAATGCAGCCCATCCAGCCTGCCTGGGAAGAAGGTTAGGCACCACTGGGCTAGGGGATGCTGACATCTGGACTAAACTATTACATTAGTTTGACCTGAGTAAAGTGCTGTTCATAGCTGTTTGACCATAAGAGATATCAGGAAGGAAACTTGCAGTTTCCTCTGTTACCCCTTTGCTCCAGGATGGAAAGTAATCTTCTAGCTGTTGTGCTGGGGGTGGTAAAGTAGCATCTTGCCTCCACTATGACGCAGGCATTTCTTAGAGGACCTCCTAAATCTGTTGATCTGTAAAATACTAACTGTAGAAAGCTTTTATGTGACCAGTGTTTTTCATAGGCCATGACATTACAGCAGAGTCCTGGTTTTTTTGGTTTTTGCCAAAAATTTTAAACTCGTTTTAAAAGTTGTACTAATTTTTATCTTCTAAATGATGATCAACCTGTTTATATTCTCTATGCCAAAATATAGCCAACCTTGAAGAAAAAGCAGGTAGTATAGAAAATTAAGTGAAACTTCTGTAATGGGGATACTAGACTCTCTTGGTCCCTTGGGCTGGATCTGGACTGCAGGGAGCCTCGTGGGCTGAATCCAAACCAACCTTGAGTTGCTGGTGGCTTGAGCAGTGTCAGGGAGTGTCGCAGAGCACTCTGGTGCCCTGTGCCTAAAAGCAGAAATGGCTCAGGGGAGACCCCTAGTGGTGAGAAGGGGGAGGCTCAACTGCCAGTCACCAGGGCAGCACAGGTGCTGGTTGCTAGGGGAACCAAGGGAATCAGCTGACAGGAAGGGGCGGGGCTTGGCCCCTTCTTAGGCCCAAGCATGAGGCTAGGAGAGCAGTTCCCCTCTGGCGACCAAGGAGGGGGGAGCTTGGCTAGTGCAGAGAGAAAGGAGAAGATAGACTGCATGAGCATCCCCTGGTTGCGGCTATGAGTTGGAGTATTTTCCCGGTAGGGATGGAAGGTTGTTTTGACCGGATGGTGTAGTTTTATGTTATAGCCTAGGGGCTTTATGTTTTGTGTTTACTGTTTTAACCGGAGGACCAGATGAGGCTATTAGGGGTTGGAGGTGGCCTCATAGGAGCTCCACGGTAGAATGGGGACCCTGGTGCCATAGAGGATGTAGCATTTGGGGGTGCATTGACCCCAGTCCCGGAGCAAGGGAGGGGCAGTGGGGAGCCCCGGAGCGAGGGAGAGGGCCAAGGCATAGTCAAGTACCATCTGCGAGGCTTGGGCTGTGGTGTAGGGGAGGAAAAGGAGCAGCAGATAGTGCCCCTGGCGCCAGGCATATAAAGTGGGCAGCCTCCCGCTAATTATATCACTCAATCATTTAAGATCAAGGCATGGCAGGCAAGTAAGCAGGTGGTTAGCCCAAGACAGGAAGGTGGAGCCACCAACAGAAAGGCTCCAGCAGAGATACTCCTGTCACAGGGAGCCATGGGGTTAATGCAACTATCAACTGCCCCTGTGCTGCTGAGATGCATCCCTAATGGGGTTCTATACATCAGAATTCAGGGACAGGGCCTGCAGCTGGAATGCTTGGTCCTTCCAGGAGCCCCATGGGCCAGAGCTTATGATACCATTGTACTATCAAATCTGGCTCTAAATTAGCTATACCAGGGATGTCCAACCGTTTTGACTGGGGCCAGATCATGAACTTTTTATCGCCCAGTGGGCTGGCGAGCCATATTCAAACATTCTCTGTCCTGGGCCAGAGATGCCCGTACTGCACCTGTGTGTTACTGCTGGTGGGCAGGGGGTTCACAGTGCCATAGTGAGCCAAGTGGGCATTCTGCATCCAGCCAGCTACTGCCCCAGAGACTGAAGGGGAGAAATAAATAGCTCCACATCTCCAGCCCCCAAGCAGCGCAGCCCCATGAGCTGGCGCAGTCTGAGGGGGGCTGGAGCAAGGCAGCCACTGCACTGCAGCCCCTCACCTGCCTGCCCGCATGGTCCCGCTCGCTGTAGTGCCTGGCCGCCCATGCACGCAGGCCCAGTGGCCTCAGTACTGTGAGCCCAGAGCATGGGGTCCGGCAGACACCGGCTCCCGCCACCTCACCCTGCAGAGGTCACGCCAGGACCCTGCCTGCCAAGGCCCCCCCACCCACCTCTGTGCTGGAAGGAGGCTGGCCAGGTTGGCACCAGCCAGCAGAAGCAGCAGCGGAGCCCGTGTGCCACTCAGGACTGACTGGTGCAGGCAGGGGGAAAATGCTTTTCCCTGGGGCATCATGCCTCCATGTTTCACTGCCCCCCCCCCACACTACCCCGGTTTCCCCTACTCAACATTATTACATTGGCTCCAGGTCCCAGCCTGCTGCCCCCCTGCCTCACCTCGGCCATCCTGGTACCTGGAGGGCCCTGCTCCCAGGGGAAGTGCCAGCAGGCCCGAACCTGGCTGCGGGAGAGGCTCCATGCATCAGGCTTCTCGGGCACCCAGGGGCAGGTGCCTGCTGGGCCCTGCTGCCCCCAGGCACCTTGGGCAGGCCCCTGGGGCTGGGCAGACCCTCCCTGGAGGCCTGCCGCAGGCTCCAGGGGGGAGCAGCAAGCTGGAGGCTTGCGGTTGGACTCAGAGGCAGCTCCATCCACTCCACGCGCTGTGCACAAAGTTATGTTTTGGAGACCGGAGGCAGGCACCTGATGGGCCCTGCCCCCC